TGGAAGCCCTGCCCTCAAGACAAGCATTGATGTAACCTGTAACTTAGTAACTGCTTTCTTCCTTCCCCTGGGCTGGGGGAAGGGCCAGGTGCCCCTGGGCCTTTGGGGAGAGGAGGGGGACTACAGATTCTCCAGATGTCCCTGGAAGGGGGATGGTATTTGGCTCATGGGACCAAGACCCCAGCTCTGGTCACCCTTGGGGCGCTTTCACACCCATTGTCTCAGTGGAACCCCCACTTGATGAACAAACAGGTATGAAGCCACTTGCCCCTAGGGTTATTCACAAAGACTAACACAAAAGTCTGCCTTCCCCCATCCTGTTACTGGAGCCCCCAAGGCTAGGTGCTGGCCAGGCAGCCAGTTCTGTTCCTGAGGTGGTGAGGTGAAACGGGGAGCTTGGGGAGAGCAGAGGCACAGGTTGGGCTAGTGAGAGGACCCCCATCACTCAGCAGAGCCTCCCTCCCTCAAGTGAGACCTCAGCTCAGTCTCAGGATGGTTCAGTGTGTGCAGGAATCACCCAGGTGGGGCACAGACATGCAGATGGAGTGATCAGCCAACCCTAAGGTGCTAGGTGGGTGATAGAGGGTCCACCAGACAAGGAGGGTGAGAAAGCTGAGCCCAGACTTGGACACAGAGAAGAAGGCCCTATTCACTTATTCATTACTTTAAGAAACTTTTATGGAGCCCTTAGGGAGCAGAGCTCACCACCCTCTTTCAGAAGAGTTTCTCAGCTGCCCAGCCTCCCCCAACCCTCCAGGATTTCTTCCCCAAATCCAGCTTGTGTCCATCAGGATCCCAGACACCAGTCCTCCCCAAACAGTGAGAGGCTGGGGTCAGGACAAGGTACAGGCTGAGAAATTCGGGGGGAATCCATGGTGGGTCTTGTCCCCCAGCCCACTCCCCTCAGGCTGTGTGCGGCCCAGCCACAGTGACATTCATCCCTCGGTGGGTCTGGCCTTGGTCCTCACAACCCACCGACAACAATGAATGTTGATTGTGACCTTCGCTGTGGCCTAAAGGAGGGGATGTGATCAGGTAGGACCTGGCCCCCCAGATCTGGAAGGTGGGGGGTAATATGGGTGGACGGCAGTTCCAGGCCTCAGGGTCCACTCAACGGTCGATGGTTTGCCTGAGCTGCCCAAACTCACCGACAGGTTGAATGTTCCCCCAAGCCCTTGGCAACTTCTTGGTCTTGGTGGTGGTAGGGTGTCCCAGAGTAGAGGGTAGGGGGCAGAGGACCAGAGAGGTGAGGGAAGGAGGGACCTATTGCATTAAGTAAGCAAACAGTAGGTGCCAACTGTCTGCTTCAGGACCTGGAAAAGCACAAGATTAATATAAATCGTCATAACAGTAGATATTTATGTATCTACTACATGGATGTAGCAATACTGGGCACTGGGCTCCCCGCTTCATGCATTTACTCAAATCATCCTCAAAAGGGCCCTGGAAGGTACAGATGTAGACCATTTGTCAGTGTGGGAGACTGAGGCCAGAGGGCACCACCCCTAGTGGCCCCAAGATGTGTCTGGCTGCCTTGCATTCTGGGGGGGGGGGCATCATGCAACAGAGACATAAACAAGTCATTTTAATACAATGTATACCTTCTGTGAGCCTCACTGTGTTCCTGGGCACAATTGTTTATGAATCACAACAACCCCTGGGGGTCATCAGAGTCTCCAGTTTGCAAATGCAGAACTCACAGTGGGGCAGCTGCCAGGCCCACACATAGATCCACTTGCCCACTTGGACAGGGGAGAAGCAAGAGGATGCAAAGTGATACCCCACTGCCCTCCTGCAGGATCTCCAGGCATCTGAACTCAGGCCCTTGGTGATGTAAGGGTGCAAGGTGGCCCACCCTCAGACCTCAAAATACACTGCAGGCTCCGACTGTGGCAACATGCTGCCCCCTCCACATTTCCTCCCAGTAAAGTGAGTCTCCAGTCCTTCCCTCCAGGGGCCACGCACAGTTGGGTATCCGCCCCTCCTAGTGCCCCACGCGCAGTCTTTGGGGAGGCTGCCCCTCATCTGGGCCTACGGACCCGAAGAACGATCTGGAGAGGGTTCTTCAAATTTCCAGTCCCCTCCCATTTAACTTAGGGGAATATGGAGCCCCAAAGGAACTCCATGGCATAACCCTAAGGCGAATCAGGGACCCCAAGTGTGCTAAGTTTTAATGAACCCTAATACGTCCCTGGCGTGGTCGGCCTGAGCGAGCACAGCCCCCCAAACTCCTCCCGCGAGACCCCACCCAGACCTTTCCCAGGAGACCCGCCCCTCTAAAGCCACCAACCTTGGCCCCTCCCCAAGACCCACCCCCTTAAAGCCACTTCTTGCCTGTCCCTGGGACCCTCCCTCTAAAGCCCGCCCATATAGATTCCCATGAGGCCCGCCCCCAAATTCAGCCCCAGTAAAACCTGTCCCCTAAGCTGGTCCTCAAAGAGCCCAGGTAAGGACCTCCTCCCAGGCATCGCCCACCGAGCCTTGTGGCACCCCACATTTTGTCGGTCTCAGGAGCGACCAAGGTCACAGAGTCCCGCCCCCTAGGACTCTCCTCTAGAACCCGCCTTCCTACATTCCCAGGGACTGCGTCCTTACGGAATCCCCAATTACGCCCCCTTGCAGCCCAACCCCCTTAAGGCCCGCCCCGCCAGGACCTGCCCCCAAACCGGAGCCCCTCGGAACCCTACCCCCGCAAGACTTGTCCCGTGAAATTTCCCTAACTCATGAAGCCCCTTCCCCAAAGCCCGGCCTCTAGTCCCCGGGCCGGGGTCCAGTCACATTCCCACCCGTGTCGGAAGCTCTGGGTAAGGCGCCCTCCCTGTGGCCCATCGGTCAGGCCATCAGGGCCCCATTCGCGCTCACGGGTGGGTGGGCCGCCTCCGGGGCTCCTCCCCTACAGGTATCCGAGTCCTACCGAGGGAGAATGTGGGTTCTCCTGCCTTGGGGATGGTGGTCCTAACCAGAGAATGCCTAGAACTC